CTTGGTTGCACTCAGGGATTACGGATGCCGAGGTCGCGATTCAGGGTATCTCGTAGTTCCGACGCGATCGTCCCAGCAAGGGATGTGGTGCTATCCTATACTATCGTAACGACATACAATGCGAACCACTGAATGATCCGGAGACGTGGGTCAGCGATTCGCCATGGTGCCGTTTGCGTCCCACACACAACGACAACTGCTTCGTGGCAGTCGTATATCGCTCACCATCGTCCACCCCAGAGATGGATTCCCACCTAATATCATTACTGACGAAATGCTTACTCCAAACTTACAGCCATGTTTTTATCTCCGGTTCACGAGTTGGAAAGCTCGGCATCCCCCAGAAAAACATACAAGGCCGAACTGCAAGATCTTATCGCAAGTATCCCGCTCTACAATCATATCAGCTCACCTACCAGATACAGAGCTGATAACGAACCATCGGTACTCGATCTCGTCCTTACAAATGAGGAACTCATGGTCGACAGGACATTTATAAACACCCCACTGGGGCTAGGCGATCATGTCACCCAAGTTTATAACTAGGTGTGTTACGCTGAATATCCTGAGGAACACACAGAACTAACCCGTACTATCACACATTACATCTTGAACAACCTAGTTGACAGAACCAATTGGGAGCTATAGAAAGGTGGCTCACCTGATAGCGCCTGGATTCAGTTTGTTGGACGCCTCAGCAATTTGATCGCAACTGCTTCGAAAACAAAGAGGGTTCGCTCCACCAATCCCTCGTCTTTCATCAGAAGTAGAACTGGCAAGCGCATATCAATAAGGAAGGCAGCTTGGCACATTTACAGAGCTCGCCCTTGTCCCGAAACCTGATGCGATTACGTAACCCATTGCAACCACTGTAACACGCTTATCCGCAGGGACAAATTTATTCACCAAGAACCTTTGGCCTGTAAATTTGACAACGGCAAAAAGCTCCAAGACAAGCATGTCAACACCATCCGGAAAGTAAACCTCGGTATCTCCCCCCACTTAACACGCCAGTCGGAGTGGCACAGAGTGCCGCAGAGGCAGTCAACGCCCTACTAATGCAGTATGACCCAACCTTACAAAGAGACGTCCGCCAGTGTTGCATCCCCACATCCCTATCCCCAAGTTCAATACTCACTAACATCGATTTTACTGCCACAGCTGTGTTGAAGAAACTGCTCTCACTATGCACCTACAGCTCTGCTGGAATCGACTATATTCACCCAAGCGCGCTGAACGTAGCAGCAACAACGCTGGCCGGGCCATTATCGCATTCCTTCCAAAGGTGCTTGGATAAACAAATTGTGTCTATCATGTAGAAACATGGAGTAATTACTCCAATTTTCCAAAGCGGCAATCGCTCGGAACCCGCCAACTATCGCCTAGTGGTCCTACTTCCTGTGCTCTCAAAGGTGATGGAGGTAACCATCGCTGAGGCTTTAGTAGACCATCTAGAACGCCAAAACAGCATAGCACCCGAGCAACACGGTTTCTGCGTGCACCGTTCATGCACTACCAACCTACTGATTGCACACAGTAGTTGGAAGGAAGCGGCCGATAAAGGCAGCGAGGCAGACGTCATTTACCTCGACTTCTGCAAAGCCTTCGACCGACTGGACCAGCGCATTCTGCTTCACAGGCGCAAAAGTTAAAAAGTCGGTGGTCCTGTTCTTGGCTGGATCAGGAATTTCCTGCGGGACCGGAAACTGCGGGTCAGAGTGCGAAGTGCGCTGTCCGATCAGATACATGTCCAATATGGAGTCCTATATGCATCAGTTCTGGGCCACATCTGTTTCTCGTGTTCGTTAACGAGCTTACGAGTTTGATTACTTCAGATTTCTTGCTGTTCGGTGATGATGTTAAGATGTGGCGGACGATCGTCGACCCAGGAGATCACGATGCACTTCAACGAGACCTGGACAGAAGACATGAGTAATCACTCCAGAGTCTGCTTCAGTTCAATTCGGGGAAGTGTAAGGTGGTTCACCTTCGCCAACAGCCGAACATCACATACAAGCTTGGAGATCATGTCCTGCAAGCCGTCACCCAGGAGCGCGACCTTAGGGTAGTAGTTCAGGCTGATCTGGGCTGCTCATCACAATCTGAGTAGGTGTCAAAGACTGGAAACCAACACGTCATCATGCTGCGAAGGGCATTTGGGCAGTTTGATCCCTCTGTCTGTTCGCAGTTGCTTAACACCTACGTGCGGCCTCATGTGGAATACTTGATCCAAGTGTGGCAGCCCTGGCACAAACAAGATCTTGCAGCGCTCGAGACTTCACAGCAACGAGCCACGAAGCACGTCAAATGTTTGTTCAATCTTCCTTATCAACGTCGACCGAGGATCCTAAAATTATACAGTGGCCGGTACCAGCGCCTACGTGGCCATCTTATTATAGTCTGCCTGATGCTAAAGCACCCCAACCACGTCTCCCTCTACCTACTACAACTGAGCCATAACCCGAATTTGAGGGGCCACCTGTTCAAGTTAGCCACGCAATACAGTCGTCTAGAATGTCGACGGAACTCTTCGTGTGTGTCAGCCTTGGAATGCCGTCCGAAAGTACGTTGCTTCTGCCCCCACTTTAGCTGTGTTTAGAAAGCTCCTTGATGTTGCCCTAACCCCAATACACTACGACATATAGCTAGTGGGTCCTGAGAGACGATGTAATGCGACGAACGTTGCACAACCAGGATTAATCTAAACAACTGTGCTTGGCACTTGCTGCATTCTTCTATGTTAACACTGTGGTGAGTCCACCAAAACGTTTTCATTCTATCCATTTGTTTTCTATTCACCATGTTGTGGTTCAGTTTTTGGCCATCCTACGGAACTTGCTAAGCATGCGCCTTTTTGCCCGTAATATACCCGTGTTCCATTGTACCACTGCCTACGCCTCAACTGACTACAGCATCTACTCTCTCAAGGACTATTTTTACCGCGAACGTCACCATCTTTTGAGTAAAGTGGACAAGGTAGATGTCGTTATACTTGCTGGCCATTTTAATGCACGTGTCGGTCATCTGCTCCCATATGAACGCCATCTTGGAGGAGAGCACGCATTTAACAAGAGACGCACAGATAATGGAGACCGGCTCCTCACATTGTGCGAGGACAACCACCTGTTTCCCCCAAGCACCAATTTCAGGCGTAACAGCGGACGTTTCGCAAGCTGGCGCCCTCTATCGTCAACACAATCCTGGTCTCAAACCAACCACATCGTAATCAGTTTCCGTCGGCTAGGTAACATGCAAGACTGCAAGTCATTCTGATCAAGCTACATGGACTCAGAGCACGCGCTGGTTTGTGTGAACATCTGTATGCGCTTCGGTGGGCCCGGAAAACAACTGCACCGTAAGATGGACACAAACACGTTAGTTGACCCCTCTGTCAAGCTGCACTATCGGATACTCTCACCTGTAGTCAACCTCAGGATGTTGTGCAACATTGGGCTTGTTTGCACGAAGTGATGCTTTCCTCTAGTCAATCGCTTTGTGGTCTCACCTCACACCCTTTGAAAACTTGGATAGCCGCTGGTTCGCTGGAACTGCTTGACCGCCGTCGAAATGTGCCACTAGATTCAGCTTATATTTCTGTACACAAGACTCAATCGGCAACTTAAACAAAGCTTGCGTAATCACCGCGATACTCGATAGTCTCAGCGCGCATCGGAGATGGAGACTACTGTCCTCTCCAGCAATTTCCGCAAGCTCTTCCTGCTCATTCGGTTCACCGGTCACAGAAGTCATGGAGTCAGCGAGACTACCTGTGCAGCGGATTGGTTACACATCACTAAACTGGGAAGACGAGTATAGCGTTGGGCCAAACATTTTCACTCCAAATTAATCACCCTCCATTGTCTGCTTGTATGCCAAGTACACCCAATTGCATGCCTTGAGTCATTTCATTGGGGCCACCTAAGGAAGCGGTGGTTTTCGTCGAGATTCCATACCTCAAGAGATTCAAGTCTACCGGCTCGGAGAAACCTCCTCTGGAGATGTTCAAGGTTAGCGACCAGGCACTTGTCTGGTAGTTGGCATATCTGTTTTCCAAGATATGGCAGGAAGATAAGATTCCATCCTCCTGGGGTGAGTCAGTAATTGCCACTATTTTCAAGAAAGGCGCTCGCACATACTGTGTTAATCACAGGGAAATCACTCTCACGCCGGTTGCCTCCAAACAAGGATGGATTGATGTACACCAGCTCTAGTCCACCAAACTGGGTTTGATGAACAACTTCGTGTAATCCGTGGACTGTATTTCGCAGGCGTTCCCGTGCCCGCATGAAAATTCCCTCGACTCAGTGAGGCAAAGGTTGCAGAGCGAATTTTTGTGGGTCCGCAGATTCGAAAGCTATGAACTAACATGACATGGTGATGCGAAACACGCATTGAATTCCTGTTGCCTTAGGTCTACCAACTTCCTCTGGAATGATAAGACAGAAATCTATAAGGAACTACAGGAAAACATGCTGCGGCAAAGTCAGAGATTTATCAGCTATATAATTCTAAAAGCCAACTTTTCACTCCCATCTCGATTAACTTCTGACAACCGCAGTACCGTACGTGGTGAAGACTGTTAAATTTACCATCGAGATATTACAACAATGGGACAACACTACCAGAAACGATAGCGTATCACCATGATGACTGTGTACTGCTAGGTACTCACCAGATGCTCCCGGCAACTACAAGAGACAGACAAAGAATTCTAAGCACTGTTCTATAACCATGTTTTACACATATCAAGCCAATAATATGGAGGCCACTGCGGTGCTGCGAGCACTTGTTGCGAATGAAAAAAACTGGGCCAATTTGCCATCTTGAATGTCGTATTCCTGTTCAACAATTAAAACTGGATAAAAGAGAAACAAATTTTAAAGTTGGGCTTGGAGAATCCGCTGGTGGTTGGGTTGCTACAAGCAACAAATTTTTTCCAGCATAATGAGTTTCGTAACAAATTGTTACCCGGTGTTATTAACTTTGTTCGCAAAACTCACGTTGTGTGGGAGGTACCTGTCTTCGTCGTCCAAGTGAAGATCAACCCTCGTTAATTGCTGAAATGCGTGTTTCATTTTGTTTTTGTCTCCATTCAAGTGGTAACATAAGATCAAATTGAACCCTGTTTTCGCATCCGGTTCTTCTTGCATAATGTGCTCAAATGACGTGATGGCGTCATTAAGCTGACCCAATTTGATGAATGTAATCCCAATGTTTCGCATGATCTTGATCCTGGAGTCAACAAGTAAAAGAATCGAAATCGGTGAAAGGATACGCACATATGGCATTTGCGAAAAGTTACTTTGCACTTATTTTGTGTCTCACCGGAAAGAGTAGCTATCACACGTCAAAAGACCAACAATCAGTGGATAGGCGACACAGAAATCCAGTTGCCGTTTGAATTCCATGCCGATTAGACGCTATGCTATAAGCAGCGTAGAGTGTTTAACCTCTTGGTGGGTGTAGAAGAGTACATAATGAAGTATGCGATTTAGTAGCGAAATCAGTTTAGCATTGTGCTCCGTGCCAACATTTCTTCTAGGATATTACGCAGTTTCTAATTTATCTACCCTCTAAATCGCATTGTTGTGGTTATACGTATAGTAACGGCCGTGGAATAGAGTTTCTTACCACACTCCTTTTAACACACTTAAAGCATTTGTTTAGACCTCATATGAATATTTTCTCCTATGGTCATACACGTACAGTCATTTAAGCTTCCCGCTACGCTTTATAAAAGTTTCTTAGACGTCAGTGTACCGCGCAATAGATTGTTCTGCAGTAACACCTCCCATTTCGTTCTACATGTGCATTTCAAACACATCGTGCAGTTTTTACAACCCATTTAGGCTAACTGTATGCATGAATTCAGGAGTACGGGAAGCAGTACCGGTTATAGGTATGTATACATTATAAGCAGATAGCTGTGGATAGTGAATTGATGCGCTTTTGGAATCGAAAAGCATGTCAATAGTCCATATTTCCTGTTTGCAACAATAATATAGAACGTGCTTAAGAATGAACACGTAAAAATATATCCCCTTTATGCAGGAAAACCAGACAAGTGGGTGGCCATTCAAGGTGTGCAGTCCCAAGCTCTCTGACCTCGTGCCCAGAATGGATTAAACCTCCCAATTTCATCGCACACGCGCATGCCGACAGTCAGTGGATTCAGCTTAACCAGCACTAGTTATTGCACTTCATCTTTTGGATCTAACTTGTGCGGATCATTTTTTACTCGATATAGCAGTTTTAGCAGGCTACCCGCAGAAACACAAGCACGCACATCTCCAAACCCCGAGCAGCATAGCAATATTTGTGGTCTCAAACGCAAGCCAAATCATGTATTTATACGACCAGCCAGCAACCACAGCTGTCCACTACTAATCGAGGAAGCTGTCGGGCATTTTCAAGTATCGCTTCGTTGCTCTGTTTACACAGAGGGAATTCCGAGCGGATGATCCATTCACTTAAACTCGCCCTTGCAAGGCCATATGACGCAAAGCAACGTGCTAGAGATGTGCTAACATCGGTCATCCAATTCAGTTCGCAAGAGTCATACAGACCGATACGAGCGCCGTCGAGCGCACAGCCACAGACCTGAGAGACATCGATCGACGGGCACGCGATGCAATAATAATACTAATAAGCATAATATATATTCTGAACTTTACAAGTGGTAACAAAAGGAAGTATGATAAATTTGGAACGACTAATCAAAATAAGCCCATTCTGCTGCGTCCAGCATGAAAGTAGCTTGTGTATTTGCTTCATGCCAGAACAATGTACTAGCGGGAGCTCCATGTTTCGATTGCCTCTCAGCGTTACATTGTAACGGTACTAGGCTCACTGTAACCCAATTGAAACCGTAGGGTGGCAAACAAGCTTCTCTGTGCTTTCGGGCAGTATGTATGGCCATGTGCAAGAACTGACTAAAAATACGAGAACCTGATGGCAACGATTGAACTGATGAAGAACACCAAAATTACTTCATTAGAAGAAACCGTGACAGTGAGTAGGCCTCAGCCCTCTCCAACAGGCTCAAGTTACAAAATGAGGTAGGAGGCTGAGCAGCGTGTTAAAAATGCGTCACTCAGGGTATAATTACATCCAGTGGCCCAAATACGTCTGAATCAACCACTGCCAGTCTTATCGAAATAAGTG